CTTGAATGTATTATTAGGAGACTGAGGTTTAAGTGTAGATAATTACTAAGTAGCATTTGGTTAGTTAAGTAGGTTATGTTAATTAAGCAAATATAGCATGCTAATTGCTAAGGGCAAAATTGTCCGGAAAAAAAAGTTATTACCTGAGTTACTAAAGCTTGTGCACGCTGCGGGTTTGCTAATTGGGTTTATTTGGTTGCCTAATTAATAAATTTAGGGTTAGGGTTCTTTTTGGATTACCTGATTGGGAAAACTGGAGAAGTGGATGGATTTCATTTTCAGCTCTTTTTATTTTTCCCCTTTTTGTTTCCCGGTGACCTGTGAGATGGAATCCCTTATATTTGGGGGGAGAAATTCAAAAAATAGCCAGATTTACAACTGGTTGTTCAAAATAGCCCAATTTTAAAAGTAATCGAAATTTAGCCACTTTTTATGTAAAGATAAATTTGAGCGAAAACACTGTTCAAAACCCGAAAAATACGCCAATATATTACACTGGAGTTCCAGCATATTTATGCTGGAACTCCAGCATATTATACTGGAGTTTCAGGATAAGTATGCTGGAACTCCGGCATAATATGATGGAGTTCCAGCAAGTATAGTATATTATACTTGAGTCAGCAAAGTATACCGGTCCAGTATAATATGCTCGAGTTCATACACAGGTGCATATATTATGCTGGACTGGTCTCTGTTGCAGCAAAATAGTGGCTATTTTTTATTAACTTTGTAAATGCTGGCTATTTTTGAATGACCAATCCAAAAACTGGATATATCGTGCTATTTTTACTATATTTGGCTATTGCCTATTGGCAAAAGAGCTAACGATAACAAAACTAAAAGGAGAAGCAGCCTTTGACTTTGGGCTTTTTTCTATTTTTACTTTTTTCAAGTTAGAGGATGCAGAGTACAAACGCGTTTTATAATTAGAATTGCTTCTTAACCATAATAATCTCATGTATATATGCTATTTTTGTTTGCACAAGAGGAGTCCAAAGTTAAAAGATGTAACTTAGACAGCTTATCCTAATGCAAGTATTATTAATTGCTTTAACGGCTCGAATTCATGATTTATAGGTCATACAAAGACAACTTTACTGTTGTTCCAAGATAACTTTACAGTTTGACACAGGGTAAATCAAGCAATTCTTTCGGATCCTTTGTTTGAAGGGAAAAATTCAAAAATAGTCGGATTTATAAGTGGTCATTTAAAAATAGCCACAGTTTCAAAAGTAATCGAAATTTAATCATTTTTCATGTAAAGATAAATCTGAACGAAAACACTGTTCAAAATCCGGAAAATACTCCAGTATAATATACTGAAACTCCAGCATAATATATTGGAGTTCCAGCATAAGAATACTGGAAGTTCATATACAGGTGCTCCAATCTCCAGTATATTATGCTGGAACTTTCCGGGTGTTGGAGTTCCAGCATAATATACTGGAAGTTCATACACAGGCGCACCGATCTCCAGTATATTATGCTAGAACTTTTCGTGTTGCAGCAAAATAGTGACTATTTTTCAATGAATTTGTAAATGTTGGCTATTTTTGAATCGTCGGTCCGAAAACTGATTAGTCCGTGCTATTTTTACTTGTTTGAATGGTTTGGGATTGGGCTATTTAAAGTTGGGCCTCAAAGGCCTGGCTGTACATGGATTTCCAAAGCCCAGAATATTCCAAATGAAAAGAATAGTGATCCGCTTGAGTAATCAAAGCCTATTTTCGCGACTATATAAAAAATAAAATAAAAAGAAGAAAGAAAAGAATAAACTGTGACAACGGGAAGAATTTGAATCTCTTGCTAGTTAACGATTACAACTTTCGCAACTTGGACTACAAATAAAAAATAAAAAAAAACCTAGCCGTGAAAAAGGGACAAAATTAGCTGAAAGCAAAGAGGGGGTGTGAAAGAATAGTTTTTTTTTTTCTTTTTGTCAAATTGACAGAGAGCCCAGAGCAGCTGTATGAGGTGAGTTGAGAGATGTCCAAAATAGGGCTCAATGGATCTTTCCAAATCTACTAATTATTAATTTTTTAATAAAATTGTAGGTTTTATAACCGTACCTAACAACATAGTACGCTTAAAATTTTATAAAAATAATCCAAAAAAATACTGAACCATATATGTTAAGTTAAATACTAACAAAGCATTAATTTTTTTTCCTTGAGCTTGGGATTATGAAGACAACTACAAGCTACCAAGTAATTAATACCCAAAGTCCAAACTTCTAAATTTATACTTCAATTGAAGCTAAATAAGTTCCAATATCTTGAGTAGCAAGTCTATTGATTTTTTCATTTCGAATGATATAAGATTTCTCTTGTTGGATAATAATTTTCTAATAAAACTCTATTCTAGAGTCCCAACTTGATTAGTACCTTTCCACTCATGTAATTTATAATTTCTTTTGTCTTTGCTCAATTTGTTTTAAGCTACCATAAAATAGTGAGACGAATCCCTATTCCGCACAACTTTTATGTTCATGTGATTCTTACATGATAATTAAAAAAAATACCAACAAATTAATTGAACCGTATAGATACGAAGAGAAACCAAGATGATTGAGACGGTTTCAAAAAGTTTAATTTTAGTTATACAAAATAAAATAACCAAAAATTAATATGATATAAATTTTATAAAATAACCGATCGAATCAAACCAATAACACACATAATCCAAAAGCGATAGAACACGAAGAAAGAAATTGATTGGTCAAACGGTCTCACCTAAGCTTGGTTCTCATACCATAAGAAAGAACCGATGGGTGATAAGTGATCAAATAGTGAAAAACAAAAACAATTTGAAACTATGTTTTTTTTTTGTTAGTTGACTTTTAATTGCATAGAATTTGTTATTTAACACAAAACAGTAAATAACCTTTACCTAGTATGAAATATAACATGGTAATGCTATCTACTAATACATTATACATGTTGCTTTTTTTCTGAGAATAAATATAGGTTAGCAATTAGTGTGTATTGTATTGATTATATTCGTAATTTTTTGTTCCCGTTGACGAAAACCAAGTGTTTATTTCAATTAACATCAGCATCTTCTCTTGTCAGGTGTTTTAAAGAACGTATAAGGTGAGAATCAACTGAAAGTGGAATAAAAAAAATTCAAATGGCTTCTCCCTTTAATTGTTTTCAGAGATTTTCATGATATGCTGGCAACATTGGCCATGAGCCCATATACAGCCCATCTAAAGCAAGGGGTCCAGTTTGTTTAGTGGATGGATCATAAGATTGGGCCTTAACGATGTGGGAGGAACAAGAAGTTTTTGGGGGGAGAAATTCAAAAATAACCAGATTTACAATTGGTCGTTCAAAAATAACCCAATTTTAAAAGTAATCGAAATTTAGCCACTTTTCATGTAAAGATAAATATGAGCGAAAATAATGTTCAAAACCCGGAAAATACGTCAATATATTATACTGGAGTTTCAGCATAAGTACGTTTGAACTCCAGCATATTATACTGGAGTTCCAGGATAAGTATCCAGCAAGTATAATTGTCCAGTATAATATACTGGAGTTTGGAGCACCGGTGCTCCAGTCTTCAGTATATTATACTGGAGTCAGCAAAGTATACAGGTCTAGCATAATATGCTGGAGTTCATACACAGGTGTACCGAATTCCAGTATATTATGCTGGAGCGGTATCTGTTGCAGCAAAATAATGGCTATTCTTCATTGACTTCGTAAACGCTAGCTATTTTTGAATGACCAATCCAAAAGCTAGCTATACCGTGCTATTTTTACAGTTTTTGGGCCTAGACTTGGAGACAAAAGGCCCATATACTCTATTGCTATGTGATGGACATAGAGTACAAAGTTGATATATAAGTTAGGTTTGTGATCC